GCGGTTTAAGGAGGGGCGGGAAGATACTCATGATGACGCAAGAGGTAGGCAGCCAAAAACGCAAAGGACAAATGCAAATGTGGACAACTGTGGAGTGCAAACCCTTGTATGCTCAGATCGAAGATTGAGTGTGTGAATGATAGCAGAGAAATTGAAAGGAGGATTTGAGAATGAGAAAGAATGTTGTCCTCAAATTTCATTCAATATTTGAAGAATGCAGAAGTATTTCAACATAATGCATTAAGTGCTTGCAATTTTTTGGCTCAGAAATCCATTCAGAAATGTGACCAACCACCTTATTCCCCTGACTTAGCACCCTGTGATTTTTGGCTGCTTCCAAAATAAAAAAAATGCCTGAAAAGGAGACGGATTTGATGACATTCTGAACATCCAGCACACTGCAACAAAGATGCTGCTCGGTGTTCCAAAAAACGAATTCCAGGAATGTTTCTGGCAGTGACACAGTTGTCTAGAAAAGTGCAAAAGTGTGTCTCTTCACAAGGGGATAACTTTGAAGGCAACAAAAACCACTTGTGTATAGGTAAGAACATTTTTTTTTTACAGTCCATTCCAGGAATTCATTTGTTACACCTCAAACAACACTTTGGGTATGGGCACAGGCCTGGGCTCAGTATCACTCCTCTGGGGTCTATTCACCTAACATTCCATTGTGAGGTAACCTGATCATTCCACATTTTTACTCCATACCTGACCCGGCTCTATGGGCTGGGAGCGGTATAAGAACTTTCCGACATATCATGCCCAGGGGCACCCTACTGTCTTTTGCTGATCTTAAGCATCTCTATGCCCTGCCAAACTGCATGTTGTTTCGCTACCTTCAGTTACGACATGCTGCCATGGCCCATCGTCCTTCAAATGGTTCCTCTTGAAAGCATGCTTTTGAGTGAGTATCTTCCAAAACCTTTGTCAGCTCTATATGCTCAATTGTCCCCTCTCTCTAATCTGTTCGACTGGTGTCATACTGACCTTCCCTCACTGACTGTCTCTCACATTTTGTACCCACTGTGATCTCAAGGGATCAGCTCTTTCAACTGAAATTTATTTGCAGGGTGTATTACACCCCACAGCAACTTGCTGCAATATACCCAGATCAATCTGACACTTGGCCTCATTGTAAACTGGAGGTGGGCTCCTACTTCCATATGTTCTGGTCTTGCTCCAGGCTACAAATCTACTGGACGGGAGTGGTGAGTGTCATCAATGTGCCTGATCTGGTAACCTTGCCTAGGGACCCGTTAGTCTTACTACTCGGCCTTACATATATGCTTGCAACCCCTAAGCACACTAAGCTGTTTATTTTCTATGTCCTATACTATGCTAGGTGGGAAAAACCTCTTAAGTGGAAAAATCTTTCCACAGCAACGCTATGGAATTGGAAGGCTGCCGTTAATGCATGCAGAATTTGTCCCCGTAACTTTGATAAGATGTGGAGCAAATGGATGGATGCCCAAGGTCTGACAGTATGATTTGTCTCTTTGTGTTTATATTGTTCCCATGCTTTGCTTGGGCCAGTCATTAACCCAATTATTCTCGCGCCTACTAGGGCTGGCTGCCAGTCCTTTCCCCTTCCCTTTCCTCTTCCCCCCCCCCCACCCACTTATTTTCTTCTTCCCCTTCTTTTATAATTTTAAGGGATAGGGCAACTGGAGGGTATTTTGATCATCTCTTACTCTGAGTATGATTTGTAGGAGTTAAGTATGTGAATAGGTTGGCGCTACAATAATTGTGTGTCAAAAAATAAAAACAAATAAATAATACAGTATACTCTCAACATCATCTAACAAATGATGTTCCAAGACAAAAAACAATATATAGTGAACATTAAGGTGACGGTCCCATGAAAATATAGTCCTGTAGATCAAAAAACGTGTTCTTTCACCATGTGCAGACAATAAGTGAATTGCTCACTCACCAGAAAAAATTTACCCCAGTTAGGTGGTCAAATACGCTTTATTATCATAAGTGTTGGCGACCAGCAACAGGCTTTCCTGGATCAGACCTCCCGGTCTCCTAATAAGGAATATGGACCCAAGGAATCAAAGATAACCACCCCCAGTTGGATGGTCATAAAACGCCGGATATACCAATAGTAGATGAATTCATAATCCCAGGCTCTCCTCAAAATAAAGTTGATGCTCCAAGTAACTAGTTATTCCAAATTAATAAACCACATAATTAAGATAAGCTCTAAGTGTAGGATTTATTGAAAAAAATGGCATAACAAATAAATGTATGTCAATACACTCACATGTAGTGGTGCCCAAATAACCGGCACCACTACATTATATGTGTAAATTCCAATAGTATGGCCGGCGTGCGCTCCAAGCCTCGCTTTCGATAGGCAGGATGTGATGTCACGGGCACCCGAAAGTAACTGGATCATGCCTCTATGTACGTTTCACCGGGCAGCATTCTCAGGAAAGCGAAGCTTGGAGCGCACAAAATATTACCTGTGCCATTCGCAACTCAGGAAAGACAGAGGGAGATTAGAGAACTCAATGCATGGCTGGAGACCTGGTGTGAGAGGGAAGGATTTGGGTTTCTAGAGCACGAGGCAGACTTTTCATTGAGGTGCAGCCTATATGCTAGAGATGGTTTGCACCTAAATGGAAGGGGGTCTGCTGTGCTGGGGGAGAGGTTTATGGGAAGGCTGGAGGAGTATTTAAACTAGGATCGAGGGGGGAGGGAGAATTAGATTATAACGAGGTAGTTAGATCAGAGAGAGGTCAGTACTTATTGGTGGGTGGAATGGGGAAAAATGGGGGAAGGGCTATGGCAGATGATAAGAAGGTTCACATGTTACAAACAACCAGTGGAATTGGTACCATTTGTATTAAAATAAAAAATATGCAAAATATGTGTGCACAACGTGTCAATGAATTAAAGTGTTTGTTCAGAACTTAGAGACCATTGGGTTTACCCCATGATCAGTATCTAGGTAACTAAGGCTGGGTAGGTGGGTATCAGCTATGGCGACTTGAAGCTCCAAGGACGTCAATCAATTAATATGTTTGTTCACCAATGCCAGAAGTCTGCCAAGCAAAATAGGTGAGAGGGAAGCTTTGATGCATGAAGAGAACTATGATTTAATTGGTATTGCTGGATCTTGGCTTTCAACTTCACATGACTGGGCCATTAATATTTCTGGCTATATTCTCTTTCGGAGAGACAGGGTAAATAGAATAGTGGTGGTGTCTGTCTCTATGTGAGAAGTGATCTCAGAGCGAGTGTTAAAGAGGAGCTATTTGATGGAGAGTATGATGAGGCTGAAGCATTATGGGTGGAACTTCACGTGGGGGTGCCTACTACAAAGGTAATCATTGGAGTTTGTTAAAGGCCTCCCAGTATTAATGAGGAGGTAGAGACTCAGCTCCTTGCACAGATCGAAAGGGCTGCAAGGACTGGGCCAGTGTTAATAATGGGGGATTTTAACTTGAGTAATGGTACTGCAGGAACACTTAAAGGGCAAAATTTTTAAAACTACTACAGGACAATTTTATGGTACAGTTCATAGAGGCCCCTACTAGGAAGGATGGTCTGCTGGACCTGGTAATCTCAAACCAAGCAGAGCTTATTACGAATGTCCATATAAAAGAACATCTGGGTAGCAGTGACCATAACATGATTTCATTTATTGTTAGCTGTAAACAGCAAGCACATACGGGAAAAATAAAAACGCTCAATTTTAAGAGAGCTAATTTTCCAAGGCTGAGAGCTGCTCTCCAAGACTTAGACTGGGAGGGAATATTGGCATCAATGAACACAACACAGAGATGGGAGTTCTTCAAAAAGACTGTATGTGAACACACTGCAAAATATATTCCCATGGGCAACAAGTTTAAAAGGCTAAAAATCAAACCTATGTGGCTTACGTCCAAAGTTAAAAAAGCTATAGATAAATGAAGGAATGCTATCATCATTTAAACGTTACAAAGAATATAACAGAATATGCAAAAAGGAGATAAAGGCCGCAAAAATTTAAAACGAATGACAGATTGGAAAAGATAGTAGGATCAACCCCCAAAAATTCTTCAAATTTATTAATAGTAAAAAGGTCCAGTCCAAGCATGTAGGCCCTTTACAAAATAATTTAGAGTGGGTGACTGGGGACAAAGGGAAGGCAAATTTATTAAATACCTCCTTCTGCTATGTGTACACAAAGGTAATGGGGGAACTCTTGTTCATAATGGGCATGGTATTGACACAACCCCAGATGATCCACATTGGCTCACAACTGATATGATCCAGAAATATTTAGACAGAATAAAGATAAATAAAGCACCTGAACTGGATGGCATACACCCATGGTTCCTTAAAGAATTGAGCTCTGTCATTTCAAAGCCATTGTTTCTAATTTTAGGGACTCTACAATGACTGGCATAGTACCACTATTGGCGTAAGGCCAATGTGGTGCCAATATTTTAAAAGGAGTCAAAATCTTTACCAAGTAACCTGTCAGTTTGACTTTTATAGTTGGGAAGATACTGGAGAGTTTAATAAAAGACTACACAGATGAGTTCTTGCTGGAAAAAAATAGTTTAAACAACAGACAGCATGGATTTATGAAAGACAGAACTTGTCAAACAAATCTGATTTCTTTTTATGAGGCAGTGAGCAAAACCTTGGACAGAGGGGTGGCGGTGGACGTGGTATACTTGGATTTTGCAAAAGCGCTTGACACAGTTCCCCACACATGGATAATGTGTAAGGTAAAGTCTACAGGTTTGGAAAAATCAGTATGTAAATGGATAGAAAACTGGCTAAAAGATCGTATTCAGAGAGTAGTGATTAATGATTCTGTCAGGGCTCCAGGGTATGACCAGAGGTATGTGAACCGACACAGGGAAACGCAGACTCCAGATATGATATAAACAATATAATTTATTAACACTAACAATACATAAACGCAGTGCAATACTAAAACATAACACAGTGCAAACGAACCAAACCAAACCACCCACAGATAACAAAACATACAATGCAAGCATCGTCAGGCAGGCCGGGATCATCAACAGGAGGTCAGAACGTATGGGGTTAAGCAGGAGAATGGTCAGACAAAGCCAGGGATCAGAGCAGGAGAATGGTCAGACAAAGCCAGGGATCAGAGCAGGAGAATGGTCAGACAAAGCCAGGGATCAGAGCAGGGGTCAGCAACGAATCAGACAGAAACAGGAACAGGAACAGGGATGCAGGAACAGGATACAGGGCCCAGGAGAAACACACACACCAAGGCAAGGCCTGCAGGTCTGGCCATCACTTAAATACACCTGCCTAAGCAGTTTCAGGTGTTTGGCTGGCTGCAGGGTTGAGTCTCTGATTGCTGGGAGCACCCGCTGGCCAGCCCTGGTACTGCAGCCCACAAGGCAGGTGAGTCCCACCACTACTGGCAAGTCCATTCCTAACAGTACCCCCCCCCCCTCAAGGAGCGGCCTCAGGACGCTCCAAACAGTTCTAGCTGGGCAAAATGTTCCACCGCCCGGGTCTGGTAACTGGCGGGATATCAAAGACTGGCACACCGGGCAGGACTCCGGGCAATGGCACACCGGGCAGCGGCACATCGGGCAGGACTCCGGGCAGCGGCACATCGGGCAGGACTCCGGGCAGCGGCACATCGGGCAGGACTCCGGGCAGCGGCACATCGGGCAGGACTCCGGCAGCGGCACATCGGGCAGTGGCACATCGGGCAGGACTCCGGGCAGCGGCACATCGGGCAGCGGCACATCAGGAATTGGATCGTCTGGCTCGACAGCGGGCATCGGGTCACCAGGTATGACAGCGGGCACTGGGTCATCAGGCATTGGATCATCTGGCTCGACAGCAGGCATCGGGTTACCAGGTATGACCGCGGGTACTGGGTCATCAAGCATTGGATCGTCTGGCTTGACAGCGGGCATCGGGTCAACTGGCCTAATAGGATCATCAGGCTGGATCAGTTCATCAGGCTGGGTAGAAACATCATCAGGCATCAGGAGTAGAGGCATCAGGCTGAGTAGAGGCATCAGGCTGAGTAGAGGCATCAGGCTGAGTAGAGGCATCAGGCTGAGTAGGCATCAGGCTGAGTAGAGGCATCAGGCTGAGTAGAGGCATCAGGCTGAGTAGAGGCATCAGGCTGGGTACAGGCATCAGGCTGGGTACAGGCATCAGGCTGGGTACAGGCATCAGGCTGGGTACAGGCATCAGGCTGAAGTGCGGGTGCCGAGGCACCAGGCTGAACCACGGAAGGCAGGTTCTCAGACGGCAGGCTCACCGGTTTGGATACTGGCAGGATGGTACTGGTTGGAAGGAATTTTAGCTTTTTTCTGGTTTTAACTACTGGGGCACTGCAAGTAAACGCAGGTCTGCAAACGAATGGAGCAGCTGGAGACAGAGAAAAACTGGAGGATGGAACAGGGGAGTGAACAGTTGCTACAGAGGACTTCTTTACAGGGTTAAAGGCAGGATAGGTGCAGCGAGTGGGAACAGGGTACTGACGAGCGGTAGATAGCAGGGCAGGAGGAGCTGTTGGGAATGCAGGAATAGAGCTTTGAGGAAATAGATTAGAAGCAGGACTGGGTTTTTGCAAGCTGACTGAGGCTGGGTGCAACAAATCTGTCAATGTCTGCAGTATGGGTTGAACAAAGCTCAGCTTACACCAAGCCTGTCTGACCAAAGACTGCACTGCGTTTATACAATCTCTTAATACCTGTGGTGAGCATGCAGAATAACGCTCCAGAAAGTAATCCACATCATCCTCTAATAACCACACCAGGGACTCTACCTGGTCGGCACTAAATGGCGGCAAAAATTCATCCCTGCATTCGGGGGTACCAGATGAAACCAACTCAGCACAAACCTCAATCAATGGCTGCACCTCAGAGAATTCTGTGCCCTGATCTACTAGAACATGAGCGAGCCGTATACATTCTAGCAGTTCATCCCGGGGATACTCCTTCAGAGTTTGATAAGCATATTCTCTGTCATCAAACACTAGCAGATATAAATACACAACCTCATCAAGATCCATCCTTCTCAGCAACAAGCCAAGATGGCTTCCCTGTGCAGCCACTTCTGGTCAGGATTGGCCTTGGTGTAATGTCAGGGCTCCAGGGTATGACCAGAGGTATGTGAACCGACACAGGGAAACCAGACTCCAGATATGATATAAACAATATAATTTATTAACACTAACAATACATAAACGCAGTGCAATACTAAAACATAACACAGTGCAAACGAACCAAACCAAACCACCCACAGATAACAAAACATACAATGCAAGCGTCGTCAGGCAGGCCGGATCATAAACAGGAGGTCAGAACGTATGGGGTAAAGCAGGAGAATGGTCAGACAAAGCCAGGGATCAGAGCAGGAGAATGGTCAGACAAAGCCAGGGATCAGAGCAGGAGAATGGTCAGACAAAGCCAGGGATCAGAGCAGGAGAATGGTCAGACAAAGCCAGGGATCAGAGCAGGGTCAGCAACGAATCAGACAGGAACAGGGATGCAGGAACAGGATACAGGGCCCAGGAGAAAGACACACACCAAGGCAAGGCCTGCAGGTCTGGCCATCACTTGAATACACCTGCCTAAGCAGTTTCAGGTGTTTGGCTGGCTGCAGGGTTGAGTCTCTGATTGCTGGGAGCACCCGCTGGCCAGACCTGGTACTGCAGCCCACAAGGCAGGTGAGTCCCACCACTACTGGCAAGTCCATTCCTAACAGATTCATACTCTGAATGGTCTAGGGTTGTCAGTGGTGTACCCTAAGGTTCAGTGTTGGGACCCTTACTTTTTAACACATTTATAAATGATATAGGGTCTGCAATTTTTAATACCATTTCAGTCTTTGCAGATGACCCCAAGCTGTGCAGTGGAATAATGTACTTACAGGATGTCTCCAACTTACTAGCCAACCTTAATGCACTGATTAATTAGCCAACTATGTAGCAAATGAGGTTTAATGTTGATAAATGTAAGGTTCTGCACTTGGGGGCTAAAAATATGTATGAATCATACATACTAGGGAGATACAACTGGGGGAATCAATGGTGGAGAAGGATCTGGGGGTTCTGGTAGATCACAAGCTTAATAATGGCATGCAATGCCAAGCTGCGGTTTCTAAAGCGAGCAAAATCCTCTCTTGTATTAAAAGAGGTATAGAATCCAGAGAGAGAGATATCATTTTACCTCTGTACAAATCTTTAGTAAGACCTCATCTGGAATATGCTGTTCAGTTTGGACACCAATCCACAAAAAGAACATTGGGGAACTGAAGAAACAGAAAAGGGCAACCAAACTGATAGGAGGCATGGAGAAGCTCAGCTATGAGGAAAGATTAGAGGAACTGAGTTTATTCTCTCTTGAGAAAAGGAGATTATGGGAGGATATGATCACATGTATAAATACATCAGTGGTTCATATTGGCCAATACAAGGAGCTAGAAGCTCAGAGCGCATAGTCTGCTTGTCCCACGTCTGTGTCTTCTGATCCAACTGACCCTCCGCCTCTTCTGGTGATGTCACTTCAGATGGTGCGCTCCAGGCTGGTTGCAAGGTCCCTACCTGTACAGACACTGCTGGATCGGCCACACAACACCATCACACTGCAGGATTGACTCTTACTGTGCCTTCTTACTACTTCATCAGCCCAGCACACATGCCCCATGCCACCAGTGGTGCCTGCAGGACGTTGAGGAATGATCACCCTATATACACAGATGAGCTTGTTTTCTTTTTACTCTTGTGACTGTTTTTAATCCATTGCCATTAAATACAGTTTTATCTGTACACTTAGATGGGTGCTTCCTGTTTCCTTTCTTTCACTTCCCACTGCCACTTCTGAGTTCTGAACCCACAGAACTCATCTGTGTAGTCTTTTATTAAACTCTCCATTATCTGCCCAACTAAGAAACCAAGAGCATGAGGCAGAGCATTACAGCAGATATAACCACAGGAGCACAGCCTTGCGTGTGCAATGCATACCTGGAGGAGAGAGAGGGAATAGCAGGCACAGGCAGGCTGCAGGAGCACACAATCACACAGGAGCCAGATGCTTCAGCCAGAAGCATCTGTAAATGTTGGCTCCCTTAAGCCTGGCCCTGCCTCCCTTCTCCTGATTGGCACATGATTAGAGCAGGCCACAGAGAGTGACCCACGCTGGCCCAAACACACTGACCAAGCTGTGGTAAGAAGCGGGGAAACCAGTGCCGCTCCCCTTAGCAGTGTCCACAGCTCTATCCACTACCATCATCTTCAGCAGCCGCCATGGAAGGATTGTATTCCTGCCAGCAGCCGCCAAGGAACCCCAACTGGTGTAACACTCCATAGCCGGCAGTACCTTAACATGGCATAATGCCGCCTCAAAACCAGCAATGGGGCTCCCTGGTCAAGCTGTTGTTGGCAAGGAGTACAGGGACCACGCCCAACCTTGAGAACGATTCTGAACGGACAGCCAGCCCTTAGGCCAGCTAGGAGAGGAGACGCCACCTGTCCTGATTGCAGGAGGAAGAAAAAGAAATGCCTAGGCTAAGGTGGGTCAAAAATGTATTGAGTTACGTCCTGATCAGGCAGGGGGTGGGTTGGGCCTCACCTAGCTGTGCTGACATGGAGCTGTCAGGAAACACTGTTCTTTATTCAAAACAAAAAATAAAATCAATATCAACAACAATCACTCCCAAAGAAAATGATAGAGAATGACAGAAACAGATAATATATATGTGTTTCTGCAGCTGGGAGTAAAGTGCTATGTAGTATTGGATGAGAATTTTGAAGGAGGTATTCTGAAGACCAAGCACCTTATAGAAAGAATTGAGGTACTCATAAGTATATCTTATGTCCCCAGATTGTATATGATAAGGGGATCACACAGAAATTGATAACTTCACATCCTTTTACTCCAATTTTTCACTATTTACCCAAGGTCCATAAATCAGACAGATCAGTTCAAGGAAGACACATAGGGGTTTATTTACTAAAGCTGGAGAGTCCAAAATCAGACTCCCTTCTGCATAGAAACCAATCAGCTTCTAACCTCAGCTTGTTCAATGAAGCTTTGGCAATGAAACCTGGAAGCTGATTGGTTTCTATGCAGAAGGGAGTCTGATTTTGGACTCTCCAGCCTTAGTAAATAAACCCCATAGTGGCAAGCACTGGATCAGTAGGTGAACCACTTGGGAATTTGACTGATACTCTTTTCCAACCTTTAGTGTTAATATCCCTTATCGTCTCCATGACAAAACATATGCTATATGAAAACTGGAGAACGTTCAGTGCAGTGAACACTTTAAATCCTTAATAATTTAGGTATAAGAGCCATGCAATGTACACTATATTGCCAAAACTATTGGGACACCACTCCAAATCATTGGATACAGGTGTTCCAATAATATCCATGACCACAGGTGTAAAAAATCAAGTGCCTAGGCATGTAGACTGCTTCTACAAACATTTGTGAAAGAATGGGTCGCTCTCAGGAGCTCAGTGAATTCAAGCGTGGTACCGTGATAGGTTGCCACTTGTGCAATAAGTCCATCTGTGAAATTTCCTTGCTACTAAATATTCCACGGTCAACTGTTAGTGGTATTATAAGAAAGTGGAAGCAACTGGGAACAATAGCAACTCAATGGTAGGCCACGTAAAATGCTAAAGCACACAGTGCGCAGAAGTCCCCAACTATCTGCAGAATCAATAGCTAAAGACCTCCAAACGTTGTGTGTCCTTCAGATTAGCCTAACAACAGTGCATAGAGAGCCCTATGGAATGGGTTTCCATGGCAGAGCAGCTGCATCCAAGCCTTATATCACCAAGTGCAATGCAAAGCATCGGATGCAGTGATGTAAAGCACGCCGCCACTGGACTCTAGAACAGTGGAGATGTGTTCTCTGGCGTGACGAATCACAGTTCTCTGTCTGTCAATCTGATGAATTTGTCTGGGTTTGGCAGTTGCCAGGAGAACGGTACTTCCCTTACTGCATTGTGCCAAGTGTAAAGTTTGGTGGAGGGTGGATTATGATGGGGGGTTGTTTTTCAGGGGTTGTGCTTGGCCCCTTAATTCCAGTGAAGGGAACTTTTAAGGCATCAGCATGCCAAGACATTTTGGACAATTTCATGCTCCCAACTTTATGGGAACAGTTTGGGGATGGCCCCTTCCTGTTCCAATATGACTACGCACCAGTGCATAAAGCAAGGTCCATAGGAACCTGACTGGCCTGCACAGAGTCCTGACCTCAACCCGATAGAACACCTTTGGATGAATTAGAGTGGAGACTGCAAGCCAGGCCTTCTTGTCCGACATCAGTGCCTAACCTCACAAATGCGCTTCTGGAAGCATGGTCAAACATTCCCATAGACACACTCCTAAACCTTATGGACAGCCTTCTCAGAAGAGTTGAAACTGTTATAGCAGTAAAGAGTGGGACAACTCAATACTGAACCCTACAGACTAAGACTATGATGCCATTAAAGTTCATGTGTGTGTAAAGGCATGCTTCCTAATACGTTTGGCAATGTAGTATATATGGATATTTACACAGATTATTCTTTGGAATTTAAACACTTAATTTTAGAAGGTGTGTCCTATAGTTTGCACCCACGAATACTGATCCTGAATTGTGATCCCTGGTGACTGTGTGCTTTTGGGATGTAAGGCCAGAAGTAGCTGTGGATTGAGACAGCTCGCATTGGGTCTCAGAATACTAGCCATTACCCAGCCCTCAGCAGATTCCTGGAGTGGGAGTCTAGAGAAGAGTGTCCTCTTGTTACTGTGCAGCGGTTTGAAGTAGCCCGTGCTCTAACCCATCTCCTGTTTAAATTTCTGTAAGTAATAATTTTCAACAAGACATCCTCTAGTCTGAGTTATGGGAGCTGGAGTGCATGGACTAGTGCTTGTGGAGGTGGGCAGTCACTGTGCTATAAGGGAAGAACCAGCTATTTTCAGTGGTACCTGCAGGGGTAGCGCTACATACAGTATGGAATTTCAGGATATGAAATGCATAATTAACAACTACTTGCCAATACTTTATGGAGATTCAGGGTATAAATCCATACTAACTCAAGGAATTAAACTATCTGTTATCAATACCAATAAGAATACCAATGTGGCTAAACACTACTCAGCATCATGCCTCAAGTCTACAATCCTTACAGGTGCATATCATATCCCAAGAGAGGAGGGGATCGCTTCTCTTCCTTAAACAACAGAGAAGCTTACTACCGGTCCTAAGTATAATGCGGCAGGTAATTGTAGCCTGCTCATGAAAAGCATGGATATACTCGTATATCCCTCGCTATTCTTGGACACATAATGGCAGGATATGGTAGATATAAATGGCAAACTCCAGCTGCAATACTATCCTGCAGGCTATGTGAACACTCAGGTTTATCTCAAAAACAGGGCAGTGATAAAAATAAAGAGAGAAAAAGAAAGAACAATAAAAGGATTACTCTCCATTCCAGTACATCACTGGATACTAGATCCTGTTGTGGATAGTCTCAGCTAAATGTACTATATCTTGTTCTATGAGCTTCTGGAATATATCCATCTTGTCACCTTCTTGGTGTGTGGGATAGAAATCTGATTTTTGTCTCACCGGTGAGGTTTGCTAGATGAGAACAAAGCACGGAAATTGATACATTCACATCTCATGACTCCAATTTTTCACTATTTACCCAATAAACAGACAGACCAATTCAAGGAAGACCCATAGTGGCAATCATTGGATCACTAGGTGAATCACTGGGGGAATTGATTGATACTCTTCTACAACCTTTTGTGGTAAGGTTTTCTTCTCGTCTCCATGACACAAAATATGCTAATTTGAAAACTAGAAACATTTCAGTGGAGTGAAGTGAACAGTTTACTTTGATAACCTGTGATGTTAAATCATTGTACTCTACCATTCCCCATAGTTTAGGGATGAAGGCTTTGCAAAATTGTATGGATCTTTATACAGATTATTTTTTGGAGTTAAAACACTTTATTTTATTTTTATTTTATTATTTTTTAGGTGTGTCCTATCTACTGAATCATAATTATTTTTTGTTTGACAAATTGTGGTATCTAAAAAAAAGGGGGCCTCAATGGGAGCCAAGTTTGCACCCACGTATGCAAACCTATACAGTATATGGATTGGTGGGAAGAACAGTGCATATATAGTGACTCCAACCCATTCAGGAATAGACCTTCTTGTTTGAATGGCAATGATTACAATTTACAATTCACAGGAGAATAGAAAATCACACGAATCAATTTTCTAGATTTGATACTCATTGAATTGGCAGTGAGTCAGTAAATGTAAAACTCTGCTCTAAGAACTTTCTGCTGCATGCTAACAGCTGCTATCCTACTCATGTCAAAAACACCATTCCGAAAGGACAATTCAGCAGAAAAAAGATGGAATTTCATTACCCACCATGATTATAACAAAGAAGCAAGTCTAATGGAGAAGAGATTCCTAGAGAGGGGTTATAGTAAATCAATGATAAGAAGAGCATGTACACGTGCCAGGAATATTCCCAGGATGGAGCTTATTAGTATCAAACTGTATTTTGACAAGAGATTCCAGGACTCATTTGCAAGAGAGGGGAGCTTGACCAGTAGTCTGGAGATTCAGTTTATAATTCCATACCGACTAGAGGAATTAAACTTGTGGTCAGAAAAGTTTCAACTCTTGGCAATATACTTTCACCAAGTATCTTCTCCTCCAAGTCCCATACTAACAGAGTCTACAGGTGCAGTTCGTCCAGGTGCTCCAGTGTAAGTTTATTTGGGATCCTCATATAGTCACATCCTCTGCCCACGGTATCTCTTTTTACATCAATTAGTCAAAAAACAGACTAGGTTTGTTGTCTATGTCATAACATGCACATCATGTAAGATACAATATGTAGGCCAGACTACCAGACATCTGTGCAATCAATTCACAATCATGTATCAAAAATCAACATGAATAAAAATACCTTTGTGGCTAAATACTTTACTCAGCATCATGCCTCAAGTTTACATTCCTTGCAGGTGCAGATCATAGAGAGGGTAGTTCCAAGAGAGGAGGATATTGCTTCTCTGCCTTAAGCAAGAGAGAATCTTACTGGATTTTCAAACTGGATACACGTATACCAAAAGGGCTCATTCACAGGTGGGATATTACCAGTATTATTATAAATTATCCCTAATGATTCTCTCAGTTTGAGGGAGGTTCTCTTTCTTTTACATATTTTTCCTCTTTCTTTTTATTGTACTTTCATCTTATTCTTGACAATCATTCCTTCTCATATACTAAAATTGGGGGTCATAAGATATTTATATATATATCAGTTATTTCTATAAGATGTTTGGGCAAATGATGTCATACATCCCAGGAGTCTTCAGGAGGGCAGGGAGTGTTTTCCGCTCAGCCTATGCCTGAGCTAAAGACAGATGGATTCCAGGGAGTAACTGCTACATGAATCATCTGCCCTTACTCAAGATGGCCACTGCCACAAATGCCAGGAAGTATTTTTCAAAATGATTTCTCAGAAAAATAAAGCATGGAGACATGGATGGATGGAAGAGTTTGTTCTGAATATTAAAAATGAATTATATAGTATTTTTGGTTTGTGGTACTCAGATACAGTGCAGTTCCACTTTAAGTCGAAGACCACCCTCATTTTTTCTGGCTTGAGAGGATGGTACACACCAAAGTATGGGATTTACCAACATTCCTCACCTTCCTTGAGAGGTGGTGCAGGCTCAGCATGATCTCTTGCAAACCGCTTTTGACAACAAAGTGTTTTTTCACCTCAGGGTGGATGTTCAGGGTGCGTTGTAAAGAAGTAAATTGTGCTTCTGCATGCTGAACGTTATTGGTAGTTTCTTTCTTGAAGCACAAACTTATAGTGGTACAACCCTGCTGTTGGAATTGTCTTGAAAGAACTCCTTACTCATAGTTTTTAGGAGCTCCTTGTCTTCCTAGGTGGCTGCCAGCTAATTGTCTTTAGTTGTCACATCAAATAGTATGGTGCTGGCATTATCATCTCAGAAATGAAAAGCCTTAATAATCGCCTTGTGTGAAGAACTGCTGCATGCCTTTATTGCAAAGTCTTTCTTCGACATGGTAGTGATGTGAGCACTGTTCAAAAAAAAAATAATTTGGCAGTAGAAATGTCTTGAAAGATGAAACTGTGGAAGACCTTCTGACATTACTCAGACAGAGGTTGCCTATGATGACCCAGCCCAGGTCCAGGCATTGGGTATATCATATGTCATGTAGTCAGTTGATTTGTTGGAGAGCCTTATGTACCCTTAGTATGTCTCTGCCGGAAAGCAGGAAAATATTGGCATTTCTGTCAAGAGCTGGTATGTGGTCAGCTATGCCTCTCAAGTGATGTAGTGTGGTGGGAGGCAGCTGTAGGAGTAGGGATCTCTTCTCTGTTGGTTGGAATCTGGTTGCACTCAATGAGAGTGATTAATGGTATTTCTACACTGCCATGCAGGGGAGATACTATAAGACCAGTGGCTCTCCTGCCTGAAACTTCTGTGCTAGCATGAGTGCCCAGGGTGTATGGTAAGGCATTTACTGTTATTTTTAATAGGCAAAAAAACCTTTGATCTAGCAAGAGATCTGTTACTTTGATTATCTAGAATAGTATACAGTCTTACAGCTTTTTCAGGTTGACCCTTGGGTGTACACAAACTAAGCATATATTGGAAAAGGATTTGTCCTTCTCCACAGACATCTGTACATGTAGAAAAGAATGGAGATGAGGCACTGTTTGGTCCATGCTCTCCCAGCCATGCTTTGCCTCAGGAGGATTACTTGTGGACAGAGTGGGACTATCTTGAAATGACTGAAGTGCTTGCTCGTGATCATCACTGTCACATTCTATGTACTTAATAGTGGCCTTACAGTCTTTAGCATGGTGTTTTTGTGGAAGCACAAGCATTTGAAGCAGACCCCAAATTTCTTTAACCACCTCCCGCCTGCCATATAAGGTAATGATGGGCGCAAGGTGGTTCTCTCATTCTGGGATGACGTCATATAACGTCCTCCCACTCTAACCGCACATGCACGGACACAGCAGATCACCGATCAACGGAAAGAGCTGAAGATGTCGGCTCGGTCATGTGATCAGCTGTGTCCAATCACAGCTGATAGCATGTAAATAGGGAAATGCCGGTTATCGGCATTTCTCTCCTCACGAGCTGTCACGCTGACAGCTTGAGAGGAGAGGAGAGCCGGTAATCGGCATTCCACAGAGAGGACATGTACACTGATCATCAGGGCACTGATGATCAGTGTGCCCTGATGATCAGTGTAGCCCCAGCAGTGCCACCTGTCAGTGCCCATCATTGCCAGCTGTCAGTGCTCATTAATGCTACCTGCCAGTGCCAATCAGTGCCTCATCAATGCCACATATCAGTGCCTACCAGTGCACATCAATGCCACATATCAGTGCCCATCTGAGCTGCCTTTCAGTGTCACCTATCAGTGCCAGTCAGTGCCACCTATCAATGCCAGTCAGTGCCACCTATCAGTGCTGCCAATCAGTGCCGCCTATCAGTGCCAGTCAGTGCTGACTATCAGTGTGCATCAGTGCCGCCTATCAGTGCCCATCAGTGCTGTCTATCAGTGCCGCCTATCATTGCCAGCCAGTGCCACCTATCAGTGCCAGTCAGTGCCGCCTATCAGTGCCACCTATCAATGCCGCTTATCAGTGCCATATATAAGTGCTGCCTGTCAATGCCCATCAGTGCCACCTACTAGTGCCTCCTCATCAGTGCCCATCAGTGCTACCTATCAGTGCCCATCACTGCAACCTCATTAGCGCACATCAGTGAAGTAGAAAAATCACTTATTTACAAAATTTTATAGCAAAAACTAAGAAAAAACTTTTTTTTTTTCAAAATTTTCAGTAGTTTTTGGTTTGTTCAGCAAAAAATAAAAAACCCAGAGGTGATTAAATACCATCAAAAGAAAGCTCTATCTGTCACAAAAAAAATTATAAAAATTTCATATGGGTACAGTGCTGCATGACCACGCAATTGTCATTCAAAGTGCAACAGCACTGAAAGCTGTAAACTGACCTGGGTAGGAAGGGGGTATAAGTGCCCTGTAGGCAAGTGGTTAAAAACTCTTTCTATTCTTGCAAGGGTTTCCGTAAGAGAAGCTCCTTATATACTGGAACCCAAAGGCTATTACATGCTCATGCTCATGTGCATGCTAAAAATTCTTAGCAAAGGCTCACTGCTCACATGTGTACGTGCACACGCACACCCATTTTCGGTATTGACACTGGTGCCAAATGGCCTATGTAAGCTGGACTATGACATGAATAGATTAATGAGTGGTCTTCAGCTAGATCCTGGTTACCTGCGTCTTGATCTGCTATACCTACTATACCTGCCTACCCATGTACAATGCGGCTTGCCTCTGACCTGTCTTTGGATTTCTGCTTGCCTGCTGTGACCTTGGCTTGTACTCTGACTCTGTACTGTGTACTGCACTCTGTACCTTGCTTCCCGGCTGTGTGCCAATCCCGGCTTGTATCTTCACTTTGCTTGATGTCCTGTACCTTGCTACCTGGCTGTTGATGACCTTTTGGGTCAAACTCCACCAGGTACATGACAGTTTCTAAGCAGGTGTGGTTTGTTATGTATAGGATGCTGGAGATTTGGGTTCTCACTTTTCTTGTTCTGATCAGTCCTTTTAGAGAGTGTAGTAGCTGTAGGCAGAATATCAGTCTTTTTCACAGACACTGGACCTCTGTAGTCTCCATGTGAAATACATGAGCTTTTAGGTCTTGGAGAAGGTGGGCCAAGAGAATTCGACTCCTCAAAGGAGAAACTTTTTTCATTCTTGCATAGTTATAAAGTTAGTCCAGTTCAAAAAAGACACAAGTCTGTCTAATTAAACCAACAGAGAAAACACACACACATTAAAAGATTGTTAGTGTCTGCAATTCTCCTAATGAACTCAAAGAGGTAGGAAAAAGGAGGAAAGGAAACTTTATTTTCTTCCTTGTACTTTGATCCAAATGATGCCCATTTTCCTGAATCCCATAAAGAACTTAGAGACCATTGGGTTGACCCCATGAGCAGTATCTAGGTAACTAAGGCTGGGTAGGTGGGTATCAGCTATGGCGACTTGAAGCTCCAAGGACGTCAATCAAGTAATGTGTTTGTTCACCAATGCCAGAAGTCTGCCAAGCAAAATAGGTGAGTTGGAAGCTTTGTTGCATGACGAGAACTATGATTTAATTGGTATTGCTGAATCTTAGCTTCATTCTTTGCACGAGTGGGCCATTAATATTCCTGGCTATGTTCTCTTTCGCAGAGACAGAGTAAATAGGAAAGGTGGTGGTGTATGTCTCTATGTGATAACTGATCTCAGAGCGAGTGTGGAAGAGGACCTAGTTGACGGAGAGTGTGATGAGTCTGAAGTTTTATGGGTGGAACTGCACATGGGGGTGCATACTACAAAGGTAATCATTGCATTTTGTTATAGGTCTCCCAGTGTTAATGAGTAGGTGGAAACTCAGCTCCTTGCACAGACTGAAAGGGCTGCAAGGGCTGGGACAGTGATATTAATGGGGGATTTTAACTACTCAGAAATTGACTGGAGTAATGGTACTGCAGGAACAGTTAAAGGGCAAAACTTTTTAAACCTACTACAGGACAATTTTATGGCACAGTTCATAGAGGCCCCTACTAGGAATAATGCTCTGCTGGACCTGGTAATCTCAAACCATGCAGAGCTTATTACGAATGTCTACATAAAAGAACATCTGGGTAGGAGTGACCATAACATGATTTCATTTATTGTTAGCTGTAAACAGCAAGCACATACGGGAAAAATAAAAATGCTCAATTTCAAGAGAGGTAATTTTCCAAGGCTCAGAGCTGCTCTCCAAGACTTAGACTGGGAGGGAATATTGGCATCAATGAACACAACACAGTAATGGGAGTTCTTCAAAAAGACTGTATGAGAACATACTGCAAAATATATTCCCATGGGCAACAAGTTTAAAAGGCTAAAAATCAAACCTATGTGGCTTATGGCCAAAGTTAAAAAGGCTATAGATAATAGGAAAAGAGCTTTTATTCAATATAAAAATGAAGGAACACTATCATCGTTTAAACATTACAAAGAATATAACACAATATGCAAAAAGGAAATAAAGGCTGCAAAAAGTGAAAACGAACGACAGATTGCAAAAGATAACAGGACCAACCCCCAAAAATTATTCAAATATATTAATAGTAAAAATGTTTGGTCCGAGCATGTAGGCCCTTTACAAAATAATCTAGAGTGGGTGACTGGGGACAAAGAGAAGGCAAATTTATTTAATACCTTCTTCAGCTCTGTATATACAAAGGAGCATGGGGGAGCTTTTGTCCATAATGGGCAAGGTATTGACACAGCTCCAGATGATCCTTATTTTAAGCAACAGACAGCATGGATTCATGAAAGACAGAGGTTGTCAAACAAATCTGATTTCTTTTTATGAGGGGTGAGCAAAATCTTCGACAGAGGGGTGGCGGTGGACGTTGTATACTTGGATTTTGCAAAAGCATTTGACACTGTTCCCCACACATGGCTAATTTGTAAAGTAAAGTCTACAGGCTTGGAAAAATCCGTATGTAAATAGATAGAAAAATGACTAAAAGATCGTATTCAAAGAGTAGTGGTTAATTGATTCATACTCTGAATGGTCTGGAGTCATCAGTGGTGTACCCCAGGGTTCAGTGTTGGGACCCTTACTTTTTAATATATTTATAAACGATATAGGGTCTGAGATTAAAAATCCCATTTCAGTCTTTGCAGATGACACCAAGCTGTGCAGTGGAATAATGTCCTTACAGGATGTCTCCAACTTACAAGCCGATCTGAATGCACTGTTTAATTGGGCAACTATATGGCAAATGAGGTTTAATGTTGATAAATGTAAGGTTCTTCACTTGGGGGCTAAGAATATGCATGCATCATACATACTAGGGGGCAGGGGCGGACTGACAACTCATGGGGCCCCCGGGGCAATAGGGGATCATGGGGCCCCTGTGTCCTTGCCCAAACTAAAAAAAGCCTATGAAAATGGTACCAGGGGCATCTCATGGGGCCCCCTACTGACCCCAGGCCCTCGAGCAGTGCCCGAGTTTCCCAATGGTCAGTCCGCCCCTGCTAGGGGGAGTACAACTGGGGGAATCAATGGTGGAGAAGGATCTGGGAGATCTGGTAGATCACAAGCTTAATAATGGCATGCAATGCCAAGCTGCGGTTTCTAAAGAAAGCAAAATCCTCTCTTGTAATAAAAAGAGGTATAGACTCCAGAGAGAGAGATATCATATTGCCTCTGTACAAATCATTAGTAAGACCTCATCTGGAATATGCAGTTCAGTTTTGGGCACCAATTCACAAAAAGAACATTGGGGAACTTGAGAAAATACAGAGAAGGGCAACCAAACTGATAGGAGGCATGGAGGAGCTCAGCTATGAGGAAAGATTAGAGGAACTGAATTTACTATCACTTGAGAAGCAGAGATTAAGGGGGGACATGATCAACATGTATAAATACATCAGTGGTTCATATAGTGAACTTGGTGTAGAGCTATTCACCCTGAGGACATCACAAAGGACAAGGGAGCACTCTTTACGTCTGGAGGAAAAGAAATGTAATTTTCAAACACAGAAAGGTTTCTTCACAGTGAGAGCTGTGAACATGTGGAATAGACTTCCTCAAGAGTTGGTTCTGGCCAGCTCAGTGGATTGCTTCAAAAAAGTCCTGGATTCTTTCTTAGATACACAGAATATAACTGGATACTAACATTTATAGGTAAAGCTGATCCAGGGAATATTCAATTGCCTCTTGGGGGAACAGGAAGGATTTTTTTTCCCAGCAGATGCAAATTGGATCATGCTTTGCTGTTTTTTTTTTGCCTTCCTCTGGATCAACTGTGGGTATAGGATTATACCTTTTTTTTTTTCTATGGTTGAACTGGATGGACTTTTGTCTTTTTTCAGCCAGACTAACTATGTTACTAAGATTGTCTTTGCCAGATATTTTTGTGGAGCTTGACAATCTTTTAAATAAAGTATCTTCAATGGTTTCTGAACTACCAAAGCTACACTCAAGTTTGCCCCAAGGGGCTTTAAGACCTGCAACAAGGTTGACAATGTGAACAATCTTATTTCTTTTGATGAGGCCACTGCTATGCAGAGCCATACAAAGCAGTGTGTTGGAGCCAACAGGGGAGAGAACTGTATTGTTTACATACAGTTTTCTCCCCCCGTCGGTATTACTCGTCGCTCACCGGGTGTCAACGAGTAATAAGCCGAGGCTGCGCATAGCGCCCCCTACCTGGAGATGCAAAATCATATATATACGTGATTCTGCATACCCCTGCCACCCTGTAGCAGTATTCCTGCTATAGGGTGGCGGTAAAGCGGTTAATCTAAATGCAAGGACTTCCTGCGCTAGGAATGGGGCCCTATTCACCAAGCTGCTGACACAACACTCCTTACCAACTAAAGTGAATGAATAAATATATATATAAAGTGCAGCGCTATCTCTAAATGTACTAAATAATAATAAATATTAATAAATATAAAGTGCAAAACTGATAATACAAGTGCTCCAAAAAATACCACAAAGTACTAAATTAATGTGCAAAATAGTGCATAAAAAAGATTGTGCAAACCGTGTATTCCAAATCTTA